ACAAATGCAGCTCAGACTGGCCAGGAGGGGTTAGAAAGGTGAGGTATAAAGTCACAGAGGTGTTGGACAGGTACAAATCCACAGATGCAGCTCAGACTGGCCAGGAGGGGTTGGGAAGATGAGGCACAAAGCCACAAATGCAGCTCAGACTGGTCAGGAGGGGTTGGAAAGGTGAGGCACAGAGCCATAAGTGCAGCTCAGACAGGTCAGGGGGGGTCGGAAAGGCACAGATCCAGCTCAGACTGGTCAGGAGATGTTGGGAAGGTGAGGTACAAAGCCACAGAGGTGTTGGACAGGCACAAATCCACAAATGCAGCTCAGCCTGGTCAGGAGGGGTTGGGAAGGTGAGGCACAAATCCACAAATGCAGCTCAGCCTGGTCAGGAGGGGTTGGACAGGCACAAATCCACAGGTGCAGCTCAGACTGGCCAGAAGATGTTGGAAAGGTGAGGCACAGAGCCACAGTGGGGTTGGAAAGCCACAGGTGCAGCTCAGACTGGCCAGGAGAGGTTGGGAAGGTGAGGCACAAAGCCACAGAGGTGTTGGACAGGCACAAATCCACAAATGCAGCTCAGCCTGGTCAGGAGGGGTTGGACAGGTACAAATCCACAGGTGCAGCTCAGACTGGCCAGGAGATGTTGGAAAGGCACAAATCCACAGGTGCAGCTCGCTTGGGAAAGTTTCCAGAATCCATAATCCCAGAAAAGTTTGGCTTGGAGAACATCCAAGCCCAGGCAGGGTCACCTGGAGTAGGTGACACAGGGACTGTCACTGGGCACTGATGGGAGAGTCTGGCACCATCCTCTGGCACCCCTTTTTTGTAGGTTTTTATTTGTAGGGTTTTTTGTAGGGTTTTTATTTATAGGGGTTTTTTTGTAGGTTTTTTTGTAGGTTATTTTTTTGTAGGTATTTTTTTTGATAGGTTTTTTTTGTAGAGTTTTTTTTTGTAGGGTTTTTTTTTGTAGGGTTTTTTTTGTAGAGTTTTTTTTTGTAGGGTTTTTTTTTTGTAGGGTTTTTTTTGTAGGTTTTTTTTAGGGTTTTTTTTTTTGGTAGATTTTTTTTGTAGGTTTTTTTTTCTCTAATTCTGTCCCTTGTGGTGTCACTGGTGTCCCCTGTGCTGTCCCCACTCCCCCAAAACGGTGTTGTCACCTCCATGGGCGTTTTCCCTCCACGTGCAGGGTTGCTGCCCCTTAAACCCAAGACATTTTTCTCTGATTAGCTTTCCTCCCCTCCTCACACTTGCTGAGCTTTTATGGGCATGGTGGCGACCGCTCTGCGAGCTGGGGAGTGTAAAAACCTTTGGGAAAGCTTCCAGGCCCCTTCAGGCAGCTGGGGCCGAAGGAGGAACTTCTTAACTAAACAAACGTTTGATTCTAGCAGCCAGAGGTTGTGCTCTCAAATCCTCCTGGCATTTCCAGCCTGGAGGGTGCAAAACCTTCCCCTGCTGGGGTTTCACCTGAGCTCCTGGATTGCCCAAAGACAGGAGCTTAAAGGCAGCGTGGTTCCTTGCAGTGAAAGGTGGGAAGCTGGAGCTGGAGCAGAGGGTTTGATGTTTTCAGGGTGTCCTGAGCCAGAGAGCAGCAGGAGGCACTGGCAGCTCACTGCAGCCTCTCGTGGATTTGCTCTGCTCTCCCTTTCCTGGCAGCTGGGAGTGTTCAGGCTGGAGAGGAAAAGGCTCTGGGGAGACCTGAGAGTCCCTCCTGCTGCCTAAAGAGGGGTTATAAAAAGGAGAGGGACTTTTTGTACACAGGCAGAGAGTGGAGAATGGTGTTAAACTGAAAAGAAGGCAGGGATGGATGGGATATTGGGAAGGAATTCTTCCCTGGGAGGGTGGGGAGGGGGTGAGATGGAATTCCCAGAGAAGCTGTGGCCATCCCTGGATCCCTGGAAGTTCCCAAGGCCAGGCTGGAGCACCCTGGGACAGTGGGAGGTGTCCCTGCCATGGCAGGGGTGGCACTGGGTGAGGTTTGGGGTCCCATCCCAGCCATTCCATGATTCTGTAACTATCTCCAGGGTTTTTAACACACGTCACCTTGCAAGCCTTTCCTTGCCTGTGCTCCTCAGCAGCTTCTCCTGCCGTGATCCAAGTGGGTTTTCCTTGAATCACCAGCAGGAACACTGGGGTTAATTCCTTAAAGCCAAATAAGAAGGGGGGAAAAAAGTAGTAAGTCACAACTTTGAGCCAAATAAGAAAGAAAAATAGTAAGACACAACTTGTCTGTAATGTTGGGGCTCCTCATTTTGCTTGGATCAGCTCCAGGGACTCGTGGGGGCCTCGAGAGCCACCAGCTTGGCCTGGGCAGTGGAGCTGGGCTTAAAAATAAGTCCTGGCTGTGCTGCTCAGTGCCAAACAGCTGCTGCACTGGGCTTGGGAGCAGGCAGAGGTTTGAAGCAGCCCAAAACTCCTGGCTGTGGGAGGTTTTGGTCTTGCCAGGCCTCAGCAGGGCTGTCCATAGGGAACAGGAGCTGTTCCAGCCCCTTTTTCTGTCCCAATCCAGCCCTGCAGTTTCCCTCTGGCTGCCTGAGCCCTCCTCTCATCCTCCTGCCCAGTTTTTTCCCCCCCACTTCCTGACTTGTGGAAAGCCAGCTGTCTCTGCTGGTTTTTCCATCTTGCCCAGGCCAGCATCTGCTCTTAATCCTTCCTAATTAATCCCTTCCATTTTAATCTGGGAGCTGCTGGCAGCGCTCGGGGCCAAGCTTTTCCTGCTTGGTTTGTTCTGCTCTCCGTGGCAGAATTCCCTCGTTCCCTGTGCCTGGGACATCCTCCCGAAGGAGGGCAGGGATTCTGAGTTATCCCCAAAGCTCTGTGGATGCCCAGAGCCAGCAAAGCTCAGCTTGCAGGGGAGAAAGGCCTGGCTAAGCTCAGCCTGGTGAACTCGAGGTGTCTCAAGCCTGGGGAGCCTCAGAGAGCTGAGCCAGAGCGAGCTACCCATTGTTTGTGGGATTTTCTCCTTGTTTTAGTGCTTGTGGAACTCGTGGAAGGATCTCTTTGTGGCCTGCCAGCACTTTAAGGAGGCTTCTGAAATAGAGAAGAGAGACTTTTTTAGCTGGGCATTTACAAGGGGGAACAGCAGAGCTTTATCTTGGGTGTCAGAGAGAAATCCTTCCCTGGGAGGGTGGGCAGGCCCTGGCACAGCGTGCCCAGAGCAGCTGTGGCTTCCCCAGGATCTCTGGAAGCGCCCCAGGCCAGGCTGGACGGGGCTGGGAGCACTTTGGGCCAGTGGAAGCTGAGTGGGACGATGCTGAGCTCAGCCTTGATTTCCCTCCCCAAATCCAGCCCGGAATTCTCCCTCCTGCCTGGAATACCTGGGGTGCTCAGGCTGCAGAGCCCAGAGGTGCAGCAGCTGGGGCTGGTAACTTGCTTTTAGCTCAGCTGCAAGTTTTCCCTGGCCGAGGTCGGAGTTAATTTCCCCTCTCTGTCCCCGGGGAGCTCTGAGTCAGCCCTTGAGCTGGAATCCTGGGAATCCCAGGTGTGGGCAGGTGACCAGACCAGGTTATTAATGGTTCTCTTCAAAACAAAGGTGTTATCCCTGAGGATCACCTCCAGAGGCCAGGTGGGAGGAAAACCTGTGTGAATCCCTTGGGATCGAGTGGGATCCCCTGAGGATCACCTCCAGGGGCCAGGTGGGATGAAAACCTGTGTGAATCCCTTGGGATCCCCTGAGGATCACCTGCAGAGGCTGTTATGGGATGGGGGGTTCCTTCAGACAGCCAGACAGCCCCGACAGGGAGCACAGGGATCCCCCAAAATGTCCAACACTGCCAAAATGTCCTCAAGTGCAGCTTCTTGTCCGGTTTTTTCCAGGCTCTTCATCGAGAAGCTGCCGCAGCACCGCGATTACAAAAGCGCCGTCATTCCTGAGAAAAGGGAGACGGTCAAAGTAAGTGGGGACGTGCTCAGCTCGTCCAGCTTGGGCTTCTCTGGCTCTGGGGTGAGCGAGCCACACAAATGTGGAGAAGTCTTGGCTTGGCCAGGCAGTTCTGACCCTTTGGGAGTTGAGTTCTGGGCCCCCTCACTCCAAGAAATCCTCTGTGGGGTTGGAGCGTGTCCAGAGGTGGGAGTGGGGCTGGGGAAAAGGAGGATCAGGGGGAATTTCTGGCTCTGCACAGGAGGGGACAGCCAGGAGAGGGTCAGGCTCTGCTCCCAGGGACAGGAGGAGAGGGAACAGCCTCAGGCTGGGCCAGGGGAGGTTTAAATTTCTTAAATTTCTTCCCCCAGAAGCATTGTCCAGTCCTGGCACCGGCTTCCACCATCCCTGGAAGTGTTTCAAAACACCTGGGGGACGTGGGTTAGTGGTGGACATGGAGGAATGGTTGAAGTCAATGACCTTGGAGGTATTTTCCAACCTAAACAATTCCAGGAATTCTCTTGAGTCACAATTTTGGGGGGTTCTTACCCCATTGCACTTGCAGCGGTGTCCTGGTTAGGCCAGGACAACTGGGCTGGTGTCCAGTTTACCTCACGCTGAGCACTGGGGTGTCCTCTCTTCCCTCTTCAACTCCCCCGCTTTTTAAAAACCACTTTGGATGTCCAAAGTGTCCAAACTTTCCAGGGAATCCTCGGAGATTCCTCACGGCCACAAGGAGCTGCAGCTCTCTGCTCAGCGCTGACCACAAGAGGAAAGGACAGCACTGCCCGAGCTCTCACTCAGTGATTTTAGCGCTGGTTTTTGGCCTCCTGAGCTGCTCAGGTTTTGTTTTCCTTGCCCTGGGGGCTGGCCCAGGCTGAGGCTGTGTTTCCTCCCCCAGAAACTGAAGGAAGTAGCGTTTCCCCGAGCCGAAGAGCTCAAGGAGGAGCTGCTAAAGAGGTACGCCAAGGACTATGCTAAGTACAAGGAGCAGGAGGTGAGTGCCAGGAGACTTGGAGGCCTGTGCTCCCCCAGGAGCCCCTCAGCAGCTCCAGGGTTCCCCGAGTGCTCGGGAATGTCCAGTCTGGGTGGCCCCAACTTTTTCCAGGCTGTGGGTGACTCTGTCAGAGGTGTCCCTGACTCTTTTTCCCTCTGCATCCCTGAGCTGGGGCTGTTTGCTTGGTGCGTTCTCTCTGTCCCAAAAGCACATCCAGGTCTCACAGCCCAGGAACTCAGCGTGGGCAAAGATCTGGGGGAGTGTGTGGGGGTCACCTCTGTGCACACTCGTGTGTGTCTTTAGAGACAGGACAGAGGGACAGCAGCCTGGGATTGTAATTCCATGCAAGAGGGAGGGTAAAGCAGGGTGGTTTTCCTGCCCTTGGCCCAGCTGGCTCTGGATCTGGGCCCTGCAAGCTGAAGTTTCCTTGCAGAAAACGCTGTTTGCTGGTGACCTTTTAGGACCCAGCTGGGGCTCTGCAGAGGCTTCGTGTTCTGCCCCCCGGGCCGGTGTTCCCCCCTCTCTGCTCGTGTTCCCCCGTGCAGCAGGAGGAGGAAGAGTGATTTGCACCCACTTTGGCTTTGCAGCAGCAGCTGGAGGAGGAGAAGACCCGGGTAGCCCTGATGAAGCAGCAGCAGGCAGAGCAGGAGCAGTTCCACGCCTTCGAGGAGATGATCCGGCGGCAGGAGCTGGAGAAGGAGCGCCTGAGGATAGCGCAGGAGTTTGGGAAGCCAGAGCCAGAGTCTGTGGATGGACCCCTCATCCCTGGAGTGGAAAAGCCCCCAACAGATTCAATCCCAAAGGTTCCAGTCTCTCCAGTTCACCCAGCAAGTCCTTCAGCGGGAACTGTCCCAGCCAAACCTCCCGTTGTGGACAGATCTTTGAAGCCCAGTGCTCTGGGGAGCACGGAGAACAGTTAGTACCTCTTGGAGCATCCCTTCTCCCCTGCTGGGGCTGAGCCAAACACAGCCAACCTCTCTTGGAATTCCCTGATCCTGGCTCCATCCCTCCTGGGGGTTTGCTCTCCTGGCTGCTGTCCAGGGCTGGGGAGAGCGGTCTCCTCTTGGGAATGTGCCCTCCCTGCCTCTCCTCTGCTCTCCCAGGGTCTGCAGCCTGTTGGCCTTTCCTTGATCCTTGGAGATTGGGGTTTAGCTGCTGGCTGGGGGAACTGGATCCTCCTCCTGACCAAATTCCACTAAATGTGGTTCCAAAATACCCATTCAGACGTGTCCAAGGGCTGAGTCTTGCCCAGCAACACATCCTGTTTTAAATAACATTTCCTGAGAGTGTGTGGCTACATTTTTGCTAACAAACCACTCCTTTTGGCCCCCTGCTAGAGGATCCTTCCCCTCTCCACCTCCCTTTTGAGAGATGTCCCTTCTCCCCGTCCTTTATCAAGTGCCACCTTTCCCTGAGCCCGCCCCTGGAGGGAGACTTTATCTTCCCAGATGGATTTTCCTCCATTTCATCCCTTCAGACCCTGCCCTGAGGGACCTGCAGGGGTTCCTGACTGCGCTCACTGTGCTCCCCTCAGGTGCAGGCGTGGATGTCCTTCGCCAGGTCATCGTCCCCAGGGAGCTGTGCCAGAAGTTCCTGCAGCTGGCCGACGCCAACACGGTGCGGGGCGTGGAGACCTGCGGGATCCTCTGCGGGAAGCTGGTAAGGGAACACCCCCAGTGGAGACCCCCCAAAGTGACACAGGGGCTGTTTGTCACCTGTTTGTCGCTTTGGAAGCGGCTCGAGGACCCTGGAATTCTTCAGGGTGGTGTCAGGCTGTTAGGGATGGCGCGCCTCTCCCTTCCCTCCTTCTCGGGGTTTCCCCACCCTGAGTGAGCTGCCAGCCCGAGTCCCCATCCAGCTGCTTCTCTCCAGTGGTGACATTCCTGGTGACATTCCTGGCAGCTCCAGGCCTCCCTTGGCTGTCCCAGCTGGTGGCCCTCACGCAGGCAGGGCTGGCAGGACGCTTCTCCCCCAGACTTTGCGTGCCCCGGTTTTATTGGCGGCTCCAGCCCATCTGCCCTGAGTCACTCCCAGCAGTTTTGAAGCTTTGAAATGTTGTTTGATGTAGCAACCTCCTGCAGTCCAGCTGCTCCCAGACACGGGGGATGGTTTAGGGATGAGGCATCACCCCCTTTAGGGTGGGGAGCTGGGTTTGGGGGGTGTCCAGGGCTCCTCTGAGAAGGAAACGGGAGGAAAATCCCACAACTCCTTTGTCAGTGACCTGGAGCTGCACCTGCAGAGGGGTGGTGGATGCATCCATGGGCTTGTTCCAAGGTTTAGGAAATTCCCTCATGCCTGAGGATGGGATATCCTCCACGGAATGGGACATCCTCCATGTGCTGCCACTGCCTTGCAGATGAGGAACGAGTTCACCATCACCCACGTCATCGTCCCCAAGCAGCTGGGAGGCCCCGACTCCTGCACCACGGAGAACGAGGAGGAGCTCTTCGTCATCCAGGACCAGCATGGCCTCGTCACCCTGGGCTGGATCCATGTGAGTCTCCTTCCCTGGCTCTTCCCAGCCCCAAGGGGAAGGGCTGCTGAGGGAGTTTTCTGGAGGAGATGGCAGGGGATGGGCAGCAGCCTCTGGTTGGGTTTCTCTCTCTGGTACAGTCTCAATCACTGCTCTGATGGGGAAATCCAGGCCTGGTTAAGGCTGGGGTCCCTTCCTAAAGCATCAAACCCTTTGAAAGGGAGGGAGGAAAGGTTTAGATGAGATTATTAGGACACAAGTCTTGTTCACTGCTCTGATGGGGAAATCCAGGCCTGGTTAAGGCTGGGGTCCCTTCCTAAAGCAACAAACCCTTTGAAAGGGAGGGAGGAAAGGTTTAGATGAGATTATTGGGACAAAACTCTTCCCTGTGAGGTGCTGAGGCCCTGGCCCAGGTGCCCAGAGCAGCTGTGGATCCCTGGAAGTGCCCAAGGCCAGGTTGGACAGGGCTTGGAGCACCTGGGACAGAGAAAATTGTCCCTGCCACGGCAGAGGTGACACTGGATGGGCTTCAAGGTCCCACCCAGCCCAACCCATCCTGGGATTCTCTGGAGGTGAGACCTTGGACATGAAGCTCTTGTTTCCTCCAGCTAAAAGCTGGCTCTGTGGGGCACCCCTAGCTCCTTTCCCAGAGGGACACATCTCCCACGCTGTGTCCCTGTGCTGCTCTGCTGTGAGCTGTGCCAGCTGCAGGCTCCTCCCCTGGCTGTCCCCACAGGGCCAGTCGGATCCGTGCCAAGCAAAGCTGAGTAATCTCTGGAAAGCAGCAGCTGCCTGAGGGCTTGGGCAAGGAAACGCTGCTGCTCCTGCTCCGTGCAGGGTGGCTGCTCCAGGGCCAGCCCTGCAGTGACAGCCCTGGCACATTTGGGGACACTCTGCAATTCCTTTGAGCCTCCTGCTGGTCTTGGCAAAAGTAAAAAAAAAAACCTAAGCAGCAAAAGGAGAGAGAGCTGTCAGCAGGAGCTGGGTGAGGTGTCTGGGGTTGTGCAAGCCTACGTGGGATGGGGTGTCCTTCGTGGGATGGGATAATCCTTCATGGAATGGGGTGTTCTCCATGGATTGGGGTGTCCTCCATGGATTGGGATAATCCTCCATGGATTGGGGTGTCCTCCATGGAATGGGGTGTCCTTTGTGGGATGGGATAATCCTCCATGGATTGGGGTGTCCTCCATGGAATGGGGTGTCCTCCATGGATTGAGGTATCCTCCATGGATTGGGGTGTCCTTCGTGGGATGGGATAATCCTCCATGGATTGGGATAATCCTCCATGGATTGGGGTGTCCTCCATGGATTGGGGTGTCCTTCGTGGAATGGGCTATCCTTCGTGGGATGGGATAATCCTCCATGGATTGGGGTGTCCTCCATGGATTTGGGTGTCCCTCATGGAATAGGATAATCCTCCATGGAATGGGGTGTCCTCCATGGATTGGGATAATCCCCAATGGATTGGGGTGTCCTCCATAGAATGGGGTATCATTCGTGGGATGGGATAATCCTCCATGGAATGGGGTGTCCTTTGTGGGATGGGATAATCCTCCATGGAATGGGGTGTTCTCCATGGATTGGGATAATCCTCCATGGATTGGGGTGTCCTCCATGGATTGGGGTGTCCTTCGTGGAATGGGCTATCCTTCGTGGGATGGGATAATCCTTCATGGATTGGGATAATCCTCCATGGATTGGGATAATCCTTCATGGATTGGGGTGTCCTCCATGGATTGGGGTGTCCTCCATGGATTGGGGTGTCCTTCGTGGAATGGGCTATCCTTCGTGGGATGGGATAATCCTCCATGGATTGGGGTGTCCTCCATGGATTGGGGTGTCCTTCGTGGGATGGGATAATCCTCCATGGAATGGGGTGTCCTCCATGGATTGGGGTGTCCTGGAATGCTGGGGTGTCCTCCATGGATTGGGGTGTCCTTCGTGGGATGGGATAATCCTCCATGGAATGGGGTGTCCTCCATGGATTGGGGTGTCCTGGAATGCTGTGGCTGTCCCTGGGATGTGCTGAGCCCCAGGAGCTGCACTCCAGTGGCCTGCAAGGACGTTGTTGTGGCTTCAAGGTGTGATTTCTCCCGGGATGTGGCAGGAACCTAGAGCTCCTTTTGTAGGTAATTCCAAACGGAAAAGAGGAGCACACGTTTTAGGACAGTCCAAAAATAAAATAAAGGGGCTACAAGAGAGCTGGAAGGGACTTGGGACAAGAGACAGGACAAGGGGGAATGGCTTCCCACTGCTAGGGGCAGGTTAGATGGAAGGAATTCTACCCTGTGAGGGTGGAGAGGGGCTGGGATGGAATTCCAGGCTGCCCCTGGATCCCTGGAAGTGTCCAATGCCAGGTTGGACAGGGCTTGGAGCAGCCTGGGGCAGCGGCTCTGGATGAGGTTTGAGTTCCCTCCATCCCAAAGCATTCCACAATTCCACAATTCCTCGAGTTCCCCAGGCGTGTGCCCTGCGAGGAGCTGAGTTTGAGATCCCTCCATCCCAAAGCATTCCACAATTCCACAATTCCACAATTCCACGGATTCCCCAGGCGTGTGCCCTGCGAGGAGCTGAGTTTGAGGTCCCTCCATCCCAAAGCATTCCACAATTCCTCGAGTTCCCCAGGCGTGTGCCCTGCGAGGAGCTGAGTTTGAGGTCCCTCCATCCCAAAGCATTCCACAATTCCACAATTCCTCGAGTTCCCCAGGCGTGTGCCCTGCGAGGAGCTGTGTCTCCTCTGCCACAGGATCCCCTCGGCAGACAGGATCCCCTGGGAGGGTTTTCCCAGCCTGCTGTGACGGCTGTCCCCGTGTCCCTGTTCCAGACCCACCCCACCCAGACAGCCTTCCTGTCCAGCGTGGACCTGCACACCCACTGCTCCTACCAGATGATGCTGCCGGAGTCCATCGCCATCGTGTGCTCTCCCAAATACCAGGAGTGAGTATGGATTGCAGGGGTGAGGGCTGGGGAGG